GTTACCCCGGCATCCTTTGCAAAAAATAAAATTCTTCTATGTGCCTTCGGACTATATGTTTTGAATTGTAGTTCCACTTTCCATATTCGGTATTTATTCTGAATCAAGTGCCTGTGCGAAGACTCCAAGCAGACAACACGCATGTGTATAACGGCATTGTAGATTTTCTTATAAAATAACGAGAGTTGCCGGTCCGGTACATGAATAGATCGGTTAGAAAGCTAGGTTTTAATTTTTAAATTAATTAGAATGGAAAGCTTAATTCGAGTGTTGAAAATAGAGAGCGCAAAAAAGGGGGTTGGGGGTGTTCCACAGGGAATATTTTTATTTTATAAACGCTACATTTGAAATGTTTATATTTTCTATTTAATCTTTAACTAGTAATGGATGCAGTAGGAGGTCCATCGGAGTTTTGAGCAAGGATTTCTTGGCAAGACAAACAATTTCAGATGTTGAATTTCCGCTGACCAATGTCCTAGCTGAGAGAAAGATACAAACATTTTATAAACATAAAAAGAAAACTTTAAATGTTAAACATATAAGGATTATATATTAAATTAATATACCAGATAAGCTGCGTATTTGCGTGATCACGCAATACAAATGATTAAAAACCCAATGCAATTGCCCATTGCAGGGTTCAATAACCCAATTAATTCAAAGGAAAACCCAATTATATGCCAAATCCATGAGTTCTTAACGCTTTTATTCGCTATCATTTGCGTTATTTACCCTTATCTAATTACAATCGTCGCGTAAATCTATTTTTATAATATTTATAATTGGAAATTTCCTTTCGTTCTAAAAATAGAGCCCTGCATCAAGTAGCTGAAATGGGTCCCTGTTGGAATTTTCCGTTGCTCAAAAGGTACACGTGTTCATGAAAACATTTCGATCTTCTCGGGGTTTATCCAATTAGCGTTTGTCATGTTTTCATATTTTTTTCGAATTGCTCGGGACTTATCGTAACATACAATGAATTAAAACGAAAGTAAATGTCCGGTAAAAATATTGAATAGAAGCATGTTTTCAGCTTCTTTTTGATAGCTGAGGCCAAGTTATGATGATAACAAGACTCATCTAGTGTTTTATGAAGCGTCCGTCGAACGCACGGGCGTGTTTGCGTACCTTAACGAGAACATTGCTAGAACAATAAACACGGGGTTTCTTCAAGAACGAAATCAGTTGGAAAAAGTGAAAGGCCAAATTAATTATGACATGATATGTAGTTGGAAAACCAAAAGTTCTAATAAGGGACAACTTAACCCAGATTTATGTTAATTAAATTAAACAAAAACATTCAGGTATAATTTTAGTTTATATATTATTTTTTCATTTTAGTTGAGTGAATACACATATCCGTTTTTTTACGTCAATGCAGCTTGACACTTTTTTTATTTTGGTCTAATTGTTCTGTATGCTTAAGATAGCTGTCTTATTGGCAAGTGTTATTTATTTATTTAATGTTGCAGAATTATTTGTATATTGAAGTTGAATGTGGTGTCCGTAATTAAACCACCCTTTAAACCTGGTCAAGGTTTTGGGGTATATCTTAAATCTGGGAACTACTTATTATTTTTATTAAAAAGTAGATCTGGCAAATAGGTGAAAGGACTGGCAAAAATTTCTTACAGCACCTAAATTTCACATAAATTACATAAAAATCTTAACACTAAGCCACACCTACCCCAAATAAACTGTAGGATATCATATGGGATCTAGAAAGGTAATTAGTTAGGCCAAAATAAATAAATGGTGTGTTTCCGGTTTCCCGACCCTACCTCCGTTTCCGACGCCGACCCTAAACATTTTATTGACAAAAATAAAATAAAAATTCAAAATCCGGATTTGTCAGTCTGTCCGGATCCGATTATTCGTTTAGAATACTATAGATCTTCAAAGCGTTTGATAATAACGACCAATATTGATAAGTAAAGCGTTTCAAGGACCAAGATTTTAAATAAACAAGCATGGCTTTTCGGCAACCGTGTAGCGTATTAGCTGTCAAATATGCGAAATGTGATCACATGCACGCAAAATATAATGACATCGAATCCGGATAATTACGATATGATGAATCTTTTTGAAGAACATCAAGCGGACCTATAGACGAAAAAAATACGAAGTTGACGCACTTTGTTCAACTTCTTTGAACAGCCTTAACAAGCGAGATTTTTTAAATATTTGTATATATAATGAAGTCTATTCAGTATATATACATATATTAACTAAATCTCGTCTTGTACCTGTGCTTCTTTGGACCCGCGGCAACAGTCAGAATCGTTTCAGGTTGGACAGACTGTAACTGTCGGTAAATTGACTAACAATTTTATAGTAAAAACTGCTAAAATCAATCCAGCTTTTGTTGTAAAACATGCTCTTACGAATGTTGTACAGAATTGTGCCCAGGACGCAACATAAACGGCTGTTAATGCTTTTTAGTTTATGATGGCAAGGGAACAGACAATGTGGAACGAGAAAGATGAAACTTCAGAAGCTTTCCCCAGTAGGCAGACATGGTGTATGATTCATATTCATTTATAAATGAATCTGCCCCAGCACCATGTCTACTTTTATTCTTTTTTATTTCTCTGGCTGGTCCCATAACAATTTATACAAGAAAAGGGAAAAAATCCTGTCATATTTACATCTGCAATTTATTTGACCAGTAGATTAATGAGGTACCTTCACGACGAATTGTCACGAAATAGAAGTTCCAAATGGAAAAAGTGTTCTGGAATATTATTTCCACTGGAATAAATATTACAGTATATGTTCCTAACGGAATGAATGGTATAGAATATTTGTTCCAACAGGAACAGATATTATGACATTGGTTATAACAAAGTTTCCAGTGGAACTTCTGTTAGGCAGAACAATCATATGTAGACAGAATAATGCTAAAAAATCTTGCCAAACGACATTAACGGTAATTTTTGGTGCATGACGATAAAATGTACACTTTCTTTTAGACGGTAAAAAAATCGACTGATTTTGACGAATCACGTAAAATTTTTTCCCAAAAAACGGTAACGATAATTATCTGAGACCTATATATATATAGTATACAAATCCTTGCTCTGAAGAATCAGGATAAGGATATTTTGATGAATTAAGGTAAAATTTTAACCAATTTGACGCTAACGGTAGCCAAAAATTACCATTTGACGCCTGACGGTAACAGGCATTACTACCATCATTAATAAGACAAAGATTTCACATTCTCACTCTTCTCAAAACCTGGAATTTTAATATTGTCAGAACCACCCAATCTTCAATCACCATCACATTTTGTCAAACATCAAAACACATCTGTATATTAAATAAAGAGGGTGCAAGGGCAGAGTATTAACCCTAAAGAAATCATAATTATCTGCTGCTTAGCATCGGTTCACAGTTTTTTCAAGGGGTACGAATCTGCTTCCATATGTATACCCTGTGTGACATTTACATTTTTAGGTTCAACGAGGATCAACATAATAACATACCATGCCAGATTTTTCACTGCCATTTTTGGTTTAAGATAATTAATCGTGAAGAACATACACTTTTCTTTTTACGACCAATGAAATGCATAAAATTTTCATTAAAGTTTATTTTCATATTTCTGACGCAGAATTAAAACAGAAAATTAAAAAAGCTGTAGATTTAATTACTTTTCTAAATATCAGAGAAGCCCGCACATCAAACTATTTGATTTGGAACTTCTTTCTGCTGTCGACCCATCTGACAATAAAAAAAAAAAATAAAATGTTTTCATAAAATAAAATGTTTTACCTACCTACCCTACCTAATTTTTTTGAAGATGAAATAGGAAACACACTATTAATTTATTTTGGCCTTACTGTCCAACTATTGATACCAGCTGCAGTTTATATAAGTTGCGAGAAAATACAAAACTGGCAGAACGTTTAAAACGGGACACAAATCAAACGTACAATTGCTCGTCAGTGAATAAACCAAACAAAACAGCTAGCACATATACAAAGAAAGAAACATATTAAAGATGGAAAAACATCTTGGGTTGATATAATGTGATTATAACATGCCTAAATATTCAATATTGTGTTGATGAAAAAACCCAATACATTAAGGAGCTTGGTGGTGAAAAACCCAATTTGATATTTGCTTGAGTGGGTGAATCGGAATTGATAATGCAATTAAAAAACTCTATCACCCAATTACATAAAAAAATGATGGGTAAAAACCCCAATTTGTGAATTCTTATCTGGAGCTCTGATTAATTATTTTCAAAGAAAACAAATATTTGAGAAAATATTTCCAAATTTGAGAAAAAATTTCGAGTTTTATTTTAGAAAAAAACATCATATCTTATTTTTAAGAGAAAACAAAACACAAAATGCATTTACAATCTCAAAATTTTAAGGGAGAAAAAAAGAGAAATTGCAAAAATTTACCGGTATAAAAGAACTCATGTATTGACGAAGGTTTCACTAAAAACCCGAACGAACGAACCTAAAAATATACCGGTAAATTTTTGCAATTTCTCTTTTTTTCCCTCTAAATGCACAAAAAATGTATACAGTTGTGTTCAATTTTAATATATCTGCATGTAATATCATTCCTTATCGTGCAAATTGTATTGAAACTGTTTATTCGAGTATATTTGGGTATATTGGGGTAAAAAGTCATTTTGTGATCGTAAGCGGCTGACATGAACAGAACAAGTTACGAGGAAAAAAGTGATTTAAAATTAAATATATTCATAAAATAAAGTATTAGTGTCGTTAAAATAACATTTAAATGCCAAGTGTAACATTGTTATTCAACCAAATTATGTTTAAACTGCTTTTTGAGGTATATTGGGGTATGTTGGGGTATATTGGGGTATATTGGGGTAAAAAGTCACGCCGCATCAAATGCAAAAAGGAGAAATTGTTCATAATATAAGCTAAATAAACAAACATCTTGTGGTTAATGGTCATGTAAGGTACTTTTTCTCCACTCTCATATATGCCTCAATCAAGAAATGTATAACATAATATTTCATATCTTTAATAACAAAAAATAAAATACAATTCAATTCAACATAATTCATTGTATCCTTTACATTAGTGTAATCTAGAAATGTTTCTTGTAGGTATTTCTAAAATTATTCCTGCAAGACAGTTGGCACATCTACAATGCTTGTACTGTTTTAGTGAGCCTGTAACAATGTCATGAATGTCATGAGTTCTCAACTAATAATAGAAGACTAGAAGATACATACTATTACAGTTCCCTTACATAATTTTGTATATATATGTACATTTTAATATATCCATTCATGTGTCTTTTTACAAGCAGGACTAATCATCAAAAATTATTGAAGTATCTCTTCTTAAAGAAGACAAAAGTACTCTTAACATTCATTTTTATCAAAAATTAAAAAGAAACATTTAATAGATCTCACAAATGCATACCTACTCTCAGTCAAAAGAACAAAAGAGAAAGTACATGTAAGTCTATTCAAACTAAAGACTAATACTCTTATAATGCCTATAAACTTACAGAAAGAAGACAAAACTTTGAGCTTGTTTATAGCAAACAATAATGAATCCTTAATCCCATATTCTATCTCTTAAAGATTCATCGAAATCAATCAGTTTTTCTGGGTATTTTACCAACATGATAAATAGATATCATGATTTCAATAAACTTTCACTAAATATAATTCATAATACAAAAAATGCATGGTATCTATATATATGTATAATCTGGTATTCATCGAAACATTTTAATAAGCACTAAATCATTAATAGTAATAAAATTAATACACTGAAAGACATTATAGCAATTTGAATAAACAGTAAGATCTGTACACACCATTACATTATGATCTTGTCCTTTCCAAATCACAGAGGTGCTATCTTAATCACAATTTTTTTAAATTGGAATTATACCAATTGATACGGATAATTCTATTTTCCATATAGAGGGCAATATCAGTCTACATCATCATCATGTAAAGCACCCGAACAGGTATTTTCACATCTTACATTCTGATTGAAATGCAATTTGAGAGCTAAAAAATCTTTTTTCGTAGCTCCTTTTCTCAGATGATTTGAAAGTGATTCTAGTTCTAATGACGACAAACTGTCTTGGTTTGAGCTTTTGAGTGAAGTAACGTTTAAGCAAGATGTTGAATTTTCCATCGAATTGATGTCCTTATCTGATGCCCATGCTTCTTCTTCATTTGTTGAGATTTTTTCTGAAGTGTGCTTTTTCTGAAATATTTCATCCTTTAAAATGGCCTTCTCTGTCTTATTTTGATCTGAAAAATGCAACAAGTAGTAACAAGTTTTAATTTCAATCTCTTCTTGACAGCAATGTGTTTATCGACAGAATTTTCATAAATTATATTTGTAAATAAAATCATTAAATGTGTAGTTAAAAAAACCAGTATCCATTTAGAATTTTTAGACCCCCTACACATACATAGTTCATAGCTTAATTTTTTGTTTCAATATTGATTTTGAATTTTGTTTTGCTACTAATTTTAGTGATATTTATTCATCTGTATTTTTTTTTTAAATTTCATTTATAGGAATAAAAAATCTTCATGATGAGGGGTCATAATGTTGATTTTTACGTCATAAACTGATGCGAATGCATTATATCTTATAGTCGTAGATATTTAAGATTTGTGTTGCTTTAAACATGAAGACAGAAAAGAGACAGAAGATGCGATATTTGGATAAGGAAAATAAAAAATCATAATTTGTTGAAAGACGACACGACATGCACCCAAAAAAATTCCCAAGGGTTCCGCGGAACCCAGTGTCTCACCTACTTTTGCTGCTAGTCACAGGATCAACAAAAATGGGGAAAAATTATTAAAAATTTTCTTATAGATACTATCTTTTGATTGTAAGAAGCTTCTGTCCAAGTTTGGTAAAAATCCAGAATGGTTTATGAATCTAATAAATGTTTTAAAAACTTTGACTACAGACTGTATGTAATGTTAACTAGAAGAAAAACTAAGTCCATTTATAAGTAATATACGGAAAAACAGGAAATATATTTTTACAAAATTTCCTTCTAGATACTAACATTTGATCATAAACAAGCTTCTGTTCAAATTTGGTACAAATCCAGGATAATTTAAGAAAGTTATTAAAATTTTTAAAACTTTAACCACAGAGTGAATGTAATGTTAACTGGCAGAAAAACTAAGTCCATTTATAAGTAATATACGGAAAAACAGGAAACATATTTTTACAAAATTTCCTTCTAGATACTAACTTTTGATCATAAACAAGCTTCTGTCCAAGTTTGGTACAAACCCAGGATAGTTTAAGAAAGTTATTAAAATTTTTAAAACTTTAACCACAGAGTGAATGTAATGTTAACTGGCAGAAAAACTAAGTCCATTTATAAGTAAAATACAGAAAAACAGGATTTTTTTTTTATAAAATTTACTTCTGGATACTATCTTATGATCATAAACAAGCTTCTGTCCAAGTTTGGTAGAAATCCAGGATAGGTTAGAAAGTTATTAAAATTTTTAAAACTTTAACCACAGAGTGAATATTTGTGGACACCGACGCCGACGGAATGTAGGATCGCTATGTTCAGCTTTTGCGATAAAAGTCGCAGGCTCGACAAAAAAGGAAATAAAAACACTAACAACAAAATTTGGTGATAAGCAGCATTTCGTGATGTCACAATCTATAACAAGCATTCTGAGAGTATTGCATGGCAATACATAGTTCCCTACCGGGTAAAAATTCATTATACTGGAACAAAATGCTAACTTGTTCTATAACTTGTCATGGTGTAAACAAAAAGTAAATATCATGTCAATATCTTCAAGCATGACTAAAAACAGTGTTAAAAACTGATTATATGACTGAATTTTTCAAGTCCAAGGACCATAACTCTGCACAAAATTATTAGACCGAAACAAAAATTTGAACTTGATCTGTAACTTGTCATGATAAAACTATATACCGATCGTCAATCAATATCGTATAAGCATTATGAAAAAACATTAGATATGATTAATAGTTCTCTAAAATTAAATATGATGTAATACAGTGTATATCTATTTTCAAATTATAATCAAATATATTTAATAGTTTCAAATATTTTTTCTTTCACTTGTCACAAACTAATATAGATTTATAACTTATCTATAAAATGTCAACAACTTTTATCTACACAATGTAATGTATTGAAATATATACATAATAAAAATAGATTATTATCTAATTAAAGGATTTCTCTTCATAATTTTTTTTATATATCTGGCATTCAGAAAATTAGTTTATACTAAATAACTAACAAACCTGCCAAAAAATTCTTCAAATAATTGAACAAAGAATGTCTTTTAAAAAATTAGTTATCTTCCTTTGTACAGAAATATGGTTTAACATAGTACTCTAACATTAGATATGGTCCAGAGTTATGTTCCATAAATCATCAGACCGGAACAAAATTTGAACTTGATCTATAACTTGTCATGATAAAACTATATACCAAATATCAAATCAATATCTTCAAGAACGAAGAAAAAAGGTGTGGAAAGCTGATTTGCCGGACAGACAGACAGACTGACAGAGTGCAAACCTAAAGTCCCCTTCGACTTCGTCCCGTAGGGGACTAAAAAGAGGACAATATTGTGGCTATGACAACTAGAACATATCCGTGGTCATCTGTTCACGTCCTTATTAACTTTCAAAGGGATAACTTCAACTTTACCACTAGGAACCCGTTTTTTATGTGATTAAAATGTGTTCATTCTGCGGCTTACTAATTATGAGAGTTTTTGGGTAAACGCATTCATAATATATATTTCAAATATGTTTTTTTTTTTAAATTCAAATTTCTAAAAACAAAATTTGTATAATTTTTTTTGGACAATATCAAGTGACATTGAAGTTCAATCTTTAAAAATTGTAGTAACCATTCTCTAAAATAGTTCAATGTTTTGCTTTTTCTAATTGTACATATATGTCAAACCTGTAAAACTGGAAGACAAATTTTGGATTAAATCTGCACCATTACCAAACATTTCTGCTGAATCTAAACCTTTGCTTTCTGGTTGAATGTTGCTGTTATCTTCATCACTATTGTTATCCAAAGATTCATAATCGACTTTCTAAAAACAGTAAAATACAATACTCACAGAACAGTGAATAAACTCATCATAGATATCAGTGACGCTCTAATAAACAAAATCGTAAGGAGTTCCTTGGAAACCTGTGTCTCGCCTACGATTGCTACTGTCTGTGTAAAAGTGTTAAGTTGACTTAAAAAGTGAGTCCATTTATCAGTAAGAATACAGATTTAAAAAAAAATTCAAACTTTCTCTTTAGATGCTATTTCTTGGTCTTGAAGATTAGCTTCTGTCCAAGTTTCATAACAATCTATGAAGGTTAACAAACTTATCATCTCAAAAAAATTTAATCCTAGACTGTCTGTAAATGTTAACTGTATCAGAAAAATACTGAAAATGAAAATATATTTTCAAAAGTTTGCTTCAGACATTATCTCTTAATCATCAAAAGATTTCATAAAATTCTATGATGGTTTGACAAAGTATTTGATGTGTAACAAACTTTAACCCCAGACTGTATCTACTTGTTAAATGTAAAAAAAAAAAAAAAAAGTCTATTTATCAGTAAAATACGTATGAATGAAAAAAATTATTTTCAAAATTTTGCTCTGGATACTGTAATTTGGTCATTAAGATTAGCTTCTGTCCAAATTTTAGAAAATTCCATGAAGGTTTGACAAAGTTATTGATGACTGAAAAACTTTAACCTCAGACTGAATCTGAATGTTAAGTGTGAAATAAACTAAGTCCATTTATCGGTAAAATACAGAAAAATGAAAATAAATATTTTCAAAATTTTGCTCTGGATACTGTATTTTGGTCATAAACAAGCTTCTGTCCAAATTTCATAAAATTCTATGAAGGTTTGACAAAGTAATTGATTTCTAAAAAAACTTTAACCACAGACTGAACCTAAATGTTGACGCCACTGATGGAATATAGGATCGCTATGTCTTGCTTTCGCGACATAAATGTCGCAAACTCGACAGATAGTTCAAAAGGCCGAATAAAACGTGTTTGGAACCAACCCAAAAACCTGTGTAAAATAAACTTTTAATACCTGAAAATGCATTAAAATACTAAATTTGATTGGTTTACTTCAGGTGATTGTTTTTATCTAATATGCAATGAAATGTCATGCGAATTTTTCACTGTAGTACTGAACAGGATAAAACTTTACTCATTACAAGTATTTCTTTATTTAAAACAAAGATAAATTCTGCACAATTATTTGACAAATGCTTATTTAAAAAAGACTAATAGGGGAAAAACAATGGTGGTATTACTACTGTATTAATTGTGTTATAATGCTGTTACGGCAAAGCTAAAAAAAACTAACATAACATATACTTAACTTTTGAATAAGGGTCTTAAAAAGAATGTCAGAAATTTAGTTGTTATTTATATACCTTCACGGGATCACTGACTGGACTCAACATATTAAGGGAACCTTCTGGCTGACCCTCGTAAACCCCTGGGTCTTGACTTCCATAACTTGCGTAGGACGAATACTTATTTGCATCTGGTGCAGTAAAATTGGTACCGTTAATTTTATTAAATTGCGAATAAGAATCCTTAAAAAATTTAAGAAATTTAGTTGTTATTTAAATACCTTCACATGATCATTGCTTGGACTCAACATATTAAGGGAACCTTCTGGCTGACCTCCATAAACCCTTGGTTCTTCCCTAATAATGCTTGCAGGTTCAGGTGATCCATCACCTCTTTGACTATCTGGTGATTCAGGCGACCAATCACCTCTTTGTTCATTTCCATCATTTCTTGAATTGTTATCATTCATCCTGTAATAAAATATATTTGTACATATTATATCTTAATCACAGAAGACCACAGATATGTTCCAATAATCTTACCTTCATCTCGTACTCATAAACCCATTAATGACGACATCATTGAAATTTTACTGAAAATGAGCAACACGGCGGTATCAATAGAGCAGCAATAAGTACTGACCCTTCACGGGCACATGAGTTCACCAATGTTTGGATTGGTTCAATCTTTAGTTTTCTGTGTTTTATGGACTATTGATTTGTATTCGTTTTTTGTGTTTTATGGACTATTGATTTGTATTCGGTTTTTTTTTTTGTCATTATGTTCACCATCTTTCTTAGACCTATGGTCTTGAGGTCTCTCCCCTTTCTGACATGTCGTGAACATTATTATGTAAAAATTATACTGATTCTAATTAATGCAATGCACTCAGAGATGCAATGATTTAATTGATTATGCTGAACACCACTTATGAATCCTAAGCATGAAGTAAAGAACTTCTGAGCCTCAGAAAAAAGCAACAAGGAATATACATAAAGCCAAGCACGGGAAATTTAAAAAAAAAGAAATATAATTATATACATACACAATAGTGAATAATGAAATCGCGTCAATCCGACAGAAAGAGCATTTGTATTTAAATGAAGTACAGAACCTGGTATAGTTATATGCTGGACACAATTAAACTACTAAAAAGGCCAATATTATCAGATATGCTATCTTATTCATTTCATTTAAACTATGAAAGCAGAATTTTTACTGAGAAAATAAATGTGAGAAAATCACATCAATTTGGTTTAGATAAAAATAGGTACTAACATGAGCGTCTATGTAGTTTCATTCCTATGGTTTATAGGTTGAATCAAGAGAAATAATGTTTAAACTTAAAGTCTTTACAACCTATAAAGATAAATGTAGGATTTTAAACTTTACAAACGAAGGTTGAACGACACAAAGATAGGCTGCGTTGGGCTACAGGTTTAAAATAAGGCTTTTGAAAAGTTTGATGAATCGGACAGACGAAAATAGGTATAACAATTGACACATTAGTGATGCTAGAAATAATAAACAAAGAGTTAAATGTAATACCGATTGTTGTTTGTTGCTTCTACGTTCTGGTCACCCGTGACTATGTTTGCATCACCAATCTGCACTGTGGCACATCCTTGAATGTTGAATATTGGACCAGAGTTAACCCTATTAGGTGATGATAATCTTCTTCTAACAGATGAAGGTCGTCTTCGACTTTCTGGTTGGTGAGGGAGAGTACCAGGTCCCTGGTCTGCTTCCACATCCACCCCTTCAGGATAATGGTAATGGTAGTGGATGCTCTGGGGTGGAGGATAACCGGTAAAATTTGGTGCTATGTTGGTAGTTTGATTTCGTGTGCCTATTTTTCAATGAATCGGGTAACAATTACTTAAGCATGTCATTATTTCTCGATTATAATAAAACACATCCTTAAATATTTTCCTTTCCTCTAAGGCTCTATGTAAATTTTGTATATTCAATTATTCATTATACATTTAGTGATAAAGGTTATTTTGAAGGGGTTAATTTATGTGTCCACTTGGTTTTTCGTCCACAAAATTACAATAATGTTCCTCTTTTGTTTAATGTGCGAGTGAATGTTTGCACATAAATACCCCGTATCAATAACCTTTCGACTTATATTAAAAACGCACTAATACTTATGTCCAGATAAAAACGTCATCATGTACGACATTATAGTTACCAAAATGATTTTAAATGAAAGGGGGCTTAACATACATAGTAGAGAATTATATTGTGTACTGTTATCGTGATGTTTAACTTAGTAACAATTTTGTAAAGTAACAATTTCATTTCGTCCACATCATTAATACATGTACCTACAACCTCAAACTGGAATTAGTCTGCTATGGCATGTGTTGTATTGAACTTTAAAACAAACAAACAGTGAATACGTTTGAATTGATTGTTTTTATCTGCGTCTTCTATTTATGCAAAAGTATTATAATTTGTGATTGATTTTAGTATAAACGGCCTTTACATATCAAACCATAATCATTGTGACAATTCATGTATTACTAACATAATCAAAAATGGTTCAGACTAGAGTAATTCATTGTTCTGGTTTGTTCTATGTAAGCAGATATAATCATGTAAAATTCGAACGAGGAGTTCAGTTCAAATTGGATTGAAAACAGCTAGCAGATTGTCTGTGTAGCATTTTGACTACGCGGTTATTCATTATAAAAAGATCTACATATAATATGAAAATTGATCGTGTTTTATGTTCATTGAACGTACAGGTTGGCTTGTCGTCACGTTTAGTACAAAACTGCTTGGAGCCTGAATCAATTGTGTTGCAACATTCAAAAAAGCTCTCAAAACTTACCTTTACAAATTTTCATCAAAATTGAATGAAAATTAGCAATTTCTTTACCACGATATATGAAATTTATAAAGTGTTGTTTTCATATTTTACAGCACTGGGTCGACACTGCTGATGGTGGACTATCAGTCCCCGAGGGTATCATTGACATGCTTTATAACAAACCTTTTTAAAATTTTGTCCATTTATAAATTTTGAAATTATAAAGAAAGTAAGGTTTCAACTCCATCAGGCAAAGTTGACTTTATATGGATTTGGCTATTATTTTAGGTCTTTTTTGGTCATATAGCATTTCAACTGTTTCGGTTCTGATACATCCTTGGCTTTCAAATATTTCACTTTGAGCGTTTTCGATGAAGGTAAATCCAGAAAAGCACTTCGGATGCATGAAATTCATAAAGTGTAGTTTTCATTCTTTATAATATTTTATAAGCCCCTTTGGTTCCTATGACTAGGAAAGTAAAGAGATATCCCAGACTCGAAAGACAAACCCAAGAATCCATGTGCATGAAGAATTTATGGACATTATTAGAACTAACTCCGATTGAGTACAGGTTCTTACAACAAATAAAAGCAAAGTCAGTAAAAATACTGCATTTTTGACGAAAACTAAAACCTATATAATCCATGTAAAATGATGTGAAAAAGTGGTCTTCGTTCCCTTTGGTCCCCCTAAGCTCGGGGACCATAGAAGCTACGACAAATCTGATAGGATATCGCGAGCAGGGATTATAAAATAAATCCAACGACAAAAAGAACAAAAAAGTATCATACTTTAAATTAAAAAAATTTTTTTTAAGGATTGACGTAAATAGGACCACATATCTTGAACATTTAACATATGGAATTTTATAAAGATTACAAGGAATAAAACTGTATTAAAATTTGATTGAAAAAAATGTTGCCTATAAAAACCATTGGAAAAGACTATTTAGTTCATCCTTCAGCATCTTTTTGTTTACATGAATGGATGGGGTACCAATCCCAAAACATCATATATCAATATTCGTTGTTCGCTAACGGAAGAAGTTAAAAATAAATCATGGATTGAACAACTGCAATTCATTGTCTAAAGTGGGACGAATTTGATGTTTCAAAACCTACTCTTAATAGCTGTTAATAATCACGTTTCAGAAATGAGAAAATGTATTAATTTAACGCAGTACGGAAATATCTTCTATATTAGTTTTGAAATTCTTTTCTCAACTGTGACTGGCTTGAATTTGCACCAATTTCAGATAGTTTTGAGACAATGGCAAACATTTATGTGCTCATACACGACTTCTGTTTCATTTCTAAAATATTCACAACTTACTGAGTCTGTCACTATTGTCCATGGAATGACTGCTCCCCGGTCTTCTTCCGCTAGGAGTTCCCACTAAGTACTCCTCATACCCAGGACTAGCCCCAGTACGTATTCCCGATCGTCCAGAAGGACCACTATATGATATTTTACTTTCTATAACATCTCCCGGTCCTTCCAAATCCATGAGCTTCATTTTTGCTTGAAGAATTACATCTTGTTGATTATATTCAAGGTGTGATTTAGGTGGGAACTTATCCTGCTTTACTTTAATTTCATCTGATACCAAACTATCATCCATCAAAGACGGCGGACTTTCTACACCATCAGATGTTTTTGGAAGGATCGAATCTGCTGATTTATCTTCTTCCTCATCTCCGTGTTCAAGAGAAGACATGCCATCTTTCTCGACTGAAGATATCTTAGCAGGATCAAAACTTTCCGACTTATTTGGTATATGGAGTGCAAGTTTAGGAGGATCACGTTTAATCGTATTGTTGTCTGGGACTATTTTACTTGAAGGCACATTGTTTTGAGAATTTTGTGTCGGAAGCGAGTCCTCTTTACCCATTACAACGTTTTCACAAGACATATTCGACACGTAACCTGAAGTAATACAAGATGGCTCATCGATTAGTTTTGTATTACTTCCATTAATTGGTTCAACTTTCTGTTTCGACGCACAAACAACAGAAGAATTTTCTAGAGGAATTAGTCTTGCTGATTTCCCTCCCCCATTAGATGTCATCACTGGAACTTTTCTAATAGAATGGTGTTGTTTCGGGTCTATGGATCTGAATGTATTATTTCTTAAGCTTTCGTCCTTATTAGCTTTATCAGACATGTCCAACTCTCCCTGGGTAGTTCTTAAAAACTGACCTGCCTTATCTTTTTCTGATATTTGTAAAATATATGGATTATCTAGTGCTTGATGCCGTTTTAGTTCGTTCATATGGTAAAGTCGATCCTCTCTGGCCTTTTTCAAAAATTCCAAAGCCATAGCATCTTCATACGACTGATTTCTGTTATCGGAAAAAAATTCAAATGCCCGTAGAACTGATAATCCTACAGGTGTCCTATAGTACCGTTCTTTCCTAGGAACAGTGTGAACAGGTCTAATACAATTCTTTTTCCTGTTCATTATTGTTGTTGCAAACAGAGATATTTGCTCCTGTGGTGGAAGTTCTTGAAGTCTTGTCATTCCTATGGTTTCTTCTTTGATAAAATTTAAATTAACTTCGTTGGCAAAGTTTGCTGACAACAACATCAGAACGCGCATTGATCTGTTCACTACTTCTTCTACAACTTTTACATCATTATTTGGAAAATCTTCGCTCGTGTATAACACAATTTTTATATCTTCCATACCATTGTTGTCAGCCATCGTTTTAAGATATTTCATATAGTTGTTGGCTTTCTGATAGTCCGACTTTGCATAGACAATTACCATATCCATCAAATGTTTTGGAGTTAAAGGTTGGTCGTAATGATCTTTAGGTCTCAATATATTGTTTTCAAAGCATAGCATTTCTTCTGTTTTCTTGAATGGTTCATATGTACCACCTTCTGCTCCAAATTGTGGAGATTCCAACTGTGTCGGATAAGGTGTCATGGGTTTTGCGTCAGTTTCTGTATCATTTGACTTCTTGTTTGGTGAATTATATTGACCTGTACTTCCTGGTTGTGTACGTAGGTGTTGGTCCAAATTGTGATCATTAGGACTATGACTTCTGTTCCTACTGGAACTAACATTAACAGGGTCATCGGGCATTCTGGTGTTAACATTATTATGAGCTGCTATATTTGAACTTAAAATTTGTTGGTCTTTATTTGGAGTCCCATGAGAAGATGACTGTATGTTGTTAAGGGAAGAACTTGTTCTATGTGGAGACTGAGATGAAGCATTTTGAGGGTTCTGGTAACCATTTATTACCTGAAAACAGCAAAATAAATATTTGCTTTATGAAAGGTTTGATGCATACAAAGTCATGTATCAAAATAGTTGTTACAAAATGTATATTACTTCGATCAGTTCTTCTGCCTTTTAAAATTAATCTTTATCTTAACGGAAGCAAGTCAGAAATTTTATGTAAACCCTCCATTAACACTTACATTCTGTAACATTTGGATAAGTTTTGACTGTCTGATTCAGAAAGGTCTAATGACGGATGTAAATAGGTGACACTTGTTGACGCTACCCTTTTGAAATAAAACCAGTTATTAACAAAAACAATGACAATAAAACAAATACATGGCAGACAAGTGATCCATGTTGTCATTGACGATTTCCATCTGCTTATCGATTGCTAAGTTAAAGTGTAAGAACACTCAAGTAGTTTAAATCCTTGTCATCTGTTGGTTTTTTTCTTGTTTTTTTTGTTTTTTTTTTTTTTGGGGGGGGGGGGGGGGGCAAGCTTTTCATAATCCATAGGAATAAATATTGGGATAACAATATGTACAAAAGTCAATCAAACGAACTGTACTAATATTGTTATTCCTCATCAATGTTTAAGATTTGTTTAGTTGTGTTTTACCGTTAAATGACAAAATCTGTAACAATGTAAATCTGACTACTATAGTTATAGTAGTCTCAGTGTAAATCAAATTTGAATTGATTGATAACAATGTTATATAATATTAGTTACTTTTAGTCCAAATACGCAAACTTTTGTTCAACTTTGAAAGGGGAAATCGCAAACAGTAGTGACCATTATGCAACTGTCAAATTGGAAAGCGAACTTAGTCTGAAAAAATAGCAGAAGGATATTGTTTAAAATATTACCAAAATGCTTTACGGGGAATAAACGAAAAAACTACATCTATAACTTTTGAAAGCAGAATTTGATGTGAATTTATAAAACAAACCTGTCTTGGTTGTTGCTCTTCTTTAAATGAAACTTTTTTCGATTCTGAAGAAACTCTATGTGTATCTGAATTCTGAGTGTCCGTTACACCATTGTGGTCATCTGGTAATTGACGTAGCGACTGATAAAGATCAACATTGCTTCCCAGTGGATGATTTTCATCCATGTCAACATGTATTCTGAAACAGACAGAACAGGGAGACGTAAATACTTATTGTACATGGAAACATGTAAGCGTTAGATAATGAAGCTCTTGCTGAAAATTGTATTGCCTTGTTTTGATTAGTTCTTGTCTAAAATCAGGCAGCCTCTCAATCTTATATATGCATTTGGTTATTCAAGAGCATCTGATAAAGTGTAATATAGAAATACTTATGAGATACTTAATCGATACCAATAGATTTTCAGTTTACAACAACAGTAACTTCATCGATCAAATTTAATTCTGTTGACTGAAATTTAATTCTGTTAATATTGAATTAATAATTAAGATCCATTTTGTTACATCTGGTGATCCGTTTATTTGACAATCGCCATGGCAGTCAGCAGGGTTTAAGAACATCCGTTGTTTGACCTGCTAGTCAAATGCGTTTTGTTAAAATATACTATTTCACTTTTTTGGTCTTTTGGAAAATGTTGTTTGTGCTGTATTTAGACCCCTCTACCATGAAATTTGTTTTGCATGCACACGTATAAAAATTGTGGTTTTTATTCAACGCAATCCTGGTTTGAACATTGTATTCAATTTAGACTTATATAGATATAAGAAGATGTGGTATGAGTGCCAATGAGACAACTCTCCATCCAAGTCAAAATTTATAAAAGTAAACAATTATAGGTCACAGTACGGTCTTCAACACAGAGCCTTGGCTCACACCGAACAGTAAGCTATAAAGCGCCCCAAAAAATTACTAGTGTAAAACCATTCAAACGGGAAAACCAACGGTCTAATCTATATAAAAAACGAGAAACGAGAAACACTTATGAACCACATCAACAAACGACAACTACTGAACATCAGATTCCTGACTTAGGACAGGTGCAAACAAATGCAGCGGGTTTAAACGTTTTAATGGTACCAAACCTTCACCCTTTTTCTGAAACAATAGTGTAACATCACAACATAGAAAGACACACTATAAAATATCAACTGAAATAGCTTAACTCAATCAAAGGACATATTAACACCATTTAACATACACTGAACAAATAAATTTGACCTATGACACAATGTAAATACAAAATAAATAAACTAAGGGTAGAATAATAAAAGTAACATGTTATATCGGTAAGAAATGTTAAACAATTAAAGAAAAACAATATGCTCGAACAAAAATATCAGCCATTTGTTATAACTTTAAACACAGGTAAATGAAAATAATTTTGTTGTTAGGTATACGTGTACAGTACCAATAGAGAAAGGAAATGTTTTTACAAAATAAATAATTTTGATGTTCATAGTACGAAGTGAAAATTTATAGTTATACCAAACACTTATCAAAGCTGGTATATAGACCAGATATAACCCTGAATAACATTAAATAACAAAAAAGCAATACAATTAGTATCAACAGGTCAAATAAACAAGAAAGTACGATTTGAGAGTACTCGCAGTTACTGACAGCTAGTTAAAAGCCAAAACAATTAACTTGTAATAAAAAATCATGCATCAGAGACTAAAATCAACTAAAACACATCCCAGGGATTTAGTATTTTAACGTCATGGACAGTCAAAGAAGACATGACTAGTGCAATGCCAAAAATAAATGTATCGACAGACAGTAGGATAGTTAGGAGTTTAACCTCTTTATAGATCTAAACGAACGTGGGTGTGTCTTTATACATCCCGCTTGAAAAAAATACAAATTTAGTTATGTTTTAATATGCTGATGACAAAATCTATATTAGTGCCAATGTAAACTATATTCAAAGATATAATTACAACATTGGTAAGATAACCTTTACTAATAAGTTTGTTTAAAGGTTCGATGAGTTTACACGGATCACATAGTGATTTCCGCGCTTTAAGTACATATATATATATATATATATATGAGTCTAAAAGATTGTGTAACAATACCGATAAATAGATGGAAAACAAAACACTAAAAAGTGTTGAATATCATCGTACACTTTAAGATGGAAAAACTGAACAGATGATATAAATTATACAATAATTGCAAATATTTCGGCTCAACAAATGGCCTTCCTCAGTGTTAAAAGTTTTAACAATACTGATTAGTATTAGCCTCTAGCCTGTTAGTCTTGTATTATTTTTAATTTTAGTTTCTTGTGTACAATTTGGAGTTTAGTATGGCGTTCATTATCACTGAACTAGTATATATATTTGTTTAGGGGCCAGCTGAAGGACGCCTCCGGGTGCGGGAATTTCTCGCTGCATTGAAGACCTGTTGGTGACCTTCTGCTGTTGTCTGTTCTATGGTCGGGTTGTTGTCTCTTTGACACATTCCCCATTTCCATTCTCAATTTTATGATATATAATGTATAAGGTGTAAACATAGATCAGTAATAATACAGGTAAGTTTTGGTCGATTGATTTTAATCCAAAATCCTGAATATCATAATATGAACATTAGACTGTAAATTTATTTATTTCTTTCTATTGATTCCATCTGGATGGAGGACACCCAGTGTTTTTATCCAAAACTTCTCCCGATTCTCTCTTTGCTAATTTTGCCATGTACAATCCTGTTCGATCACAAGGATCTTCATGTGATCAAAATCTTTCAGATTGTGATCTGGTAACCTGAAGTGTTGGCTGACAGGAATATACGGTTTTTTTGTGAGGTCACTCCTGTGGCCATTAAGGCGTTTGTGAAATGGCTGCATAGATTCACCAACATATTGGAGACCACATTTAGGACACTCAAGAACGTAAATCACGTTTGAGCTTTTGCAGTTGATATTGCAGAAGATCTTGTATGTCTTTTCTGTGGTCTTACTGTGAAATGTTGATGAATGCTGCAATTGGTTGCAACATTTGCAGCGCTTATCCCCACAAGGCTGGCAATTACCTACAGTACGGTTAGGTTTGGAAAGGTCAGCACGGACAAGTATATTTCTCAGGCTGTTAGGTTGTTTGAAGGCAATCATGAGAGGCTCAGGAAAGATTTTGGATAACTTAGAATGTTTCTCGATTGCTGTCCAATGATCACGAATGGTCTTGAAACTATTACTCAGGCATGGATGGTAGGTGAGCACACATGGGATTCTTTTACTTTTCTGTTTTTCTTTGTAAGTTAGCAGACTGCTTCTGGGGATGGATTCCGCTTTTCGAAAACTATTTTTGATATTTTTGTGTTTATATCCCCTTCTTTTCAAATGTCCTTTGAGCTGCCCCAGACGTTGTTTTGCAGTGTCTTCAGAGGAGCAGATTCGCCTTATTCTGAGAGCTTGGCTGTATGGAATGCTCTTCGTGCAGTGTGGAGGATGGCAACTTTCAGGCGACAAGTATTGATGAGTATCTGTAGGTTTAGAGTATATATCTGTGTTTATTATACCTACAGAGAGGGTGCTAGATGTATCAAGGAAGTTTATGGTGGAATTAGATGTTTCATGGGTGAATTTGATGGTAGGGTGTTGATTGTTAGCATTTGTTATAAAAGTTTGTAATTCTTGGTCTCCCTTGTCCCATTTCATGTCAACGTCATCAATGAATCGATACCAGGAAAGCGGTTTTTCGATGGAGCACTCCAGCAGTTGCTTTTCAACTTTACCCATGAATATATTGGCATAAGATGGAGCCATTTTTGTACCCATAGCAGTGCCATTTGTCTGTAAATAGTGTTCTCCTTAGAATGTGATGTTGTTCTTTTTCAAGACCATAGTAAGCATTTCTACTAAGCATTCAGTAGGTGGAATTTTAAGAGATCGAGAGTCCCAAACTTCTCTACATGCTTCAATGCCATCCACATGGGGAATATTCGTATAGAGGGAGGTGACATCCATTGTGACAAGAGTAGTATTGGCAGGTAGAGGGTTTAAATTCTGCATTTTTAGTAGGTAATCTGTAGAATCTTTTATAAAAGATGGCAAGTTTTCTACATGTGGTCGAAGATAGTAATCAACGAATTCGGATATTTTTTCGGTGGGATGACCATTAGCTGAGACGATTGGTCTTCCTGGTTTACCAGGTTTATGAATTTTAGGGAGCAGGTATTCTGATAAACCTTTGTCAATACAATGGTATACAGAAGTTACATGTAATAAATAGCACAGTTATAAATTAAAATAAAACATAATATGTACACTATTTATTACTAAATTGAATTTAGCTAGGAGAACACACACATGAATTAGTATGCCTTATAAATTTACATAGCTTTTTTAAATATGATTTTTTTGTCATATTCATAACTTCCTTAAATTTAATTATATTTGGATAACCAATATACTTCTTATCAAAATACTTTTTTCTTTCTATAGCCATATTAAATTTACACTTCATTACATAGTGAAATTCATCTCCAAGATCTTTTAAGTCTCATTGTTCGCATTGACATAGAGTGTAAATATCACGGGGTTCCAAAACATCTAAATATTTTTCGAAGCCAAAGAGTTCCTTGAAAAGACGGTAATTTAATGTTTTCGAGTTCATTTGAATATCTGAATACCATGTTTGTTTAAATTGATCTTGGAGAGATGTTAGCAGCAGTCTTTAACCAAATTCCATTAATACAAGTTTGAAATAACCATACATAAGATAAACCATGCAGTTTCATTAAGAATAGATTCTATACATTTCATCCAATAAAATTTAACATTAGTTCCATGAGATAAACTAAACATTAATTTGTATGTTATTGCTGATAATTTACTGGGTTTGGTAAAAATCAACTTTGCACAGAAAGAAATCATGCGAACTTTGATATCTAAACTAATAGGATAACATCCTCATTCTCCATATATAACACAATTCGGAATGGAGGATTTTAGATGGAGAAGAAGTTTACAAAATTTCAAATGAACTCTTTCTAATATTTCATTATTTCCAAATCCCCAAATTTCACAGCCGTAAAGTAAAACAGGTTTAACCAATTTATCAAATAAATCTAATTGACAACTTATTGATAAACCATGTTTTCTTCTTTTTTTGATAACTTCATACATGGCTCTGGTAGCTTTTACTGCTAGATGCTTCTTATTTGCTTTAAATGAGCCATTTTTAGAAAAATAAATCCCAAGATAATTAAACTCATTAACAATTTCTAAGTCAGAGTTACCAAAATTAAATTTAAGATTAACAGGTTGTCTACCACTTCAAAAAATCATGATTTTGGTCTTGTCTACATTGACTTTCATTTTCCAAGCATTGCAATATGATTCAAATTTTTCTAGTACATTGTAGCAATTGAAGTTGTGTGGCTGATTCAGCCATCAATACAATATCGTCTGCGTAAAAGAATTGCAAACAGTTTAACATAGACATCTAGTTCGTCTTCTAGGGCATTTGATATAGTTTTTAAGCCTATCAAATTCCCTTTGTAAAAGAAATCTTCCAAATCATTCAAAAAATGTGAAAAAGAAAAGGGGATAAATTCTCCAATGTTGCTTGGAAAATAATCAGATTTCTCCCCATTGTATGACAAGCATGATTTTATATCATCATACATGTTATGAATAATTTATACATATAACCATTTATATTATTTACTAGCATCTTATACCATAAAGCATCTCTAGTCACTGTATCAAATGCTTTTTCGAAATCGACAAAAGCACAGAACATTTTTTTCTTTTTTAATTTCAAAATTTCAAAAAAAAGAGTGTAGTGTAAAGATACAATCACAAGTTGAGTAACTTTTGGAAATCCACACTGGTTTTCATTGAGAAGTAAAACTTCATCAGAGAACCTTGCAAGTCTATTACTTAAAATAGCTGTAAATAATCTAATTTTACAGATTGAATGGGTATAATACCGCTTTGGTGTTTGCTACCTCGTCATTATTAAACAAGGCTCGTTTGTAGTGGTATCCCAATCATCCCTCATTTCGCTTTGTAGTTTCAGTCTTTCAATGAAAATGTTTGAAAATTACTAGTAGTCAATCAGAATCAAAGATTGCCTCTGGCAGCAAGGTTTTCGTCCAATTGGAACCAATTGAAAACAATTAGTTTAGATCTTTCCATAAATCACTCATGCCATGTTCGGTTAAATTTGCCATGTGGTTTCTGAGAAGATGAAAATGTGAAAGTATAGATATCAGCGGCCGCTGTGGATGTTAAAGTAGCAATTACCGGTAAAGTTTGGAAAAAAGGGGAAGGGCAAAATCAATTTTCCTATCCCCAAGTACATGAGCAAGGAATATCAAAGATTTGTATTTCACAATTAATTTTCCAAAAGGGCAGGAAGTATTATATTTCCAAATCAGTTTAACAATGGACATTACCATGATTACAGCTATTTATTTTTTAAATGAAAGGTCTTAAAAGGGACAAAAAGTATTCTATTTCGAAATTTGAGGTCCCATAAGAGTCACCAAATAAATTTCAAATGTCCAATGGAGGGAAAATGATCCAAAAATTGTGTAATCACTGAAACATTGACAGTGGAACACACGCATACACGTGTATGTGTGTCTTGGGGACGTTGTCAAAGGGTGAAAGAACATTTGTATAGTTGAGTTGCTTCCATTTCAAATTAAATGGCGTTTTATGAAGCCTAAATATCTTCAGTTTTCATATCGACATTTAATGAGACTTATCAATAATTATTTAAATTTGTAACCCATATTACGCTCAGCAGTAAATCATGGAAGTGGAGCAGTTCGGATGTGCCCTTTTCCAGATTTAAACAATATAATGTAAAATTCGGCAAAATAAGGCTCAATCAAAACGTTACAGCGCTTTTTTTTTTTTTAAATTTCCCACTTATTTAAACGAGTGCTAGATCAACCTCGAATTGGCATTACAAATACATCTTGATCTGACACCATATATGTATACAGATGAATAGAACATTTTTTGATAGGCCAATATCAAAAGCCCAAAAAGCACAATTATGTGTTGTCAAAATGAAGGATCTACCTGTTTATATGGAGAGGGTAGAATAGACTGGACGAATGTACCCGACTGGACACACAGGCACTCTCCTCTGATTTTTTTTTCACCTATATACCTTAGTATATAAGCAAGGATTTGTATCCTTGGTACAAGGTATACAGGTCATTTTATCACATCAGTATACTACAAGTGCATGTGACTGAACATCCTGTTATTTGTGAGTGCAAACAGTAAAGTATTTCAACAAAAAAATCTATGTAACTAACCAACTAACTTATTTAATTCAGTCAGAGACATATAATACAATGTATTATATGTCTCTGATTCAGTGTAAAATCCATGTAAAATAATGATCATCACTGAAATAAACAAACATTAAAAATAATAACCATTTGACACGCATCAAACGATAAACGATTAAATATTTCAACTTATCAAAATCGACATTTACAAAATAACAAAAAAATATGTGTCAACAATGATCAACAATGTCATACATGTCATAGGAGAGAAACGATTACCTTAATTGACCTTCTTTAGTATTGAACATTGCTGTCAGGACCTACATATGAAGGTAACGATCTTATACACTTGTCGAAATGTATAAATGTGAAATAAATAACATATAAATGTATATATACTCACATAATAATGAAATGTTTACACACTTTCGTTTTAGTTAATGGACGTCATCGTCTGGAAATTCCCAAAGTCTATTTTAATAAATCGTCACTTCCGTAGAAAATATATTACATTCGCGGGAAAAGTTTCAAATCTGTTTATTTCAACTGTTAGTTGAATATTTAGATTTTAAATCTATGTTTAACTAGAAGCGTAAAAATATACAAGATGCATGTGCGTATTAAATCTGTTGTTTGGGGGCAGTTAGGTCTGTTTTAAAATATGTTGAGAACCAAGTAATTAAGACGAGGAGAAACATTATGGGAACAACTTCGGGTTATAAGATAAATCTAAAAACCTTTCTTTGTAACATTTAGGAGCTTTTGCACGCAAATTTAAATTCAATAGCGAAATTCGCGTCTGAGATTGGAATATCCAAAACTGGCAATTTGAATTGCTTGGTAGTGTATTATACATTTATTTCCCGTGCCGGAGGGAGATATGAAGATTTGTTCACCCAAGAATATTCATATTTCACGAGGGCTCTGCCCGAGTGAAATATGATTTTTCGAGGGTGAGCAAATCTTCATATCTCCCGAGGCAAAGGAAAATGAATGTTTTATTCCACTGCCTGTGCTTTGCTTACTATCAATACATTAAATATTATTTCGCATACATTTTTTTTCTTATCCGCTTGTTTTTGTAAGTCAAACTAAACACGACATACTCATTGATAAACATTAAGGATCAAAATTTAATTATAAGTCTGTTTGTTTTATCGTCTGAAATAAATTTGAACATGATAATGATTTTTGCTATCGCTATTTTAAGAAAAAATAAGAAGTTCAAAACGTATTGTACATAAACCGCGCGTAACGTCGCACGAAGTAATCCCGACATTTCAGAGGGGAATATGATCCTCAGAATGGAATATGAAGATTTGTTCAATGACACGTGGGATAGTCTCAACCAATCAAATATTGATTTTACTATCAATATGTTTAAACAGTGGAATAATAATCATTGTTATTTCGTCTAGTCGATATTTTTCATATCTCATTTCAATTCGAAACAATAAATCTGCAGGGAATATTCGACTTTAGACTACCGCTGGGAATGAGAGCAAGTAAATCCGTATTTTTACTCGCTTCAAGTTGGCTTGTAATAATTAAAAACTATATTTCTCTTCTTATTTTCTATTCTATAAACTACATATCCTCGTCTCATGGGTTTTCGTGCTATTAAGAATGCATTGTGACGTTACAATTTCCATTGAAAAAGCATACATAGTACTGGTACGAATTCATATGACGTACGAAAACATATGATCTGACCAGAGACATATATGTCTCTGATCTGACCATATATATTCATTTACGCTACAAATCTACAACTCCCAGTTTTGGCTACACGTGCTGTTCTTATCTATCAAGTCATGAATATTCATCAGCTATGTAGGCGTGTCACAATCGTATCATACGCGATAAACACACTGTTCTGATTTCATTAACCAGTATTAAAAAGATAAATATAACACCATGTTTGGTGTTGGGTAAAAAAAAAATGGTCAAGCGATAAACTTTCCATTGAGTTATTGCAACGGTTCTCAATCTTTTTTTCAAAAGACTAAAGTTGTAAAAGTTTTATCAAAATATAATACGTTCGTGCAAGTTAATTGTTATAAACATCTTTGATTTAAAAATAATTATTTTTGTCTTTCTCCAACAAATTAACCGATCCTCGGCAAACTTTACTGACTTAGTTCTGGCGAAAATATTTTTTTTTAGATATTGCCTATCCAGTATCAGTGAATTAATGTTCATTTCATTTTAGACTCATTTTAAGCTCACCTGGCCCAAAGGCCATGTGAGCTTTTTTATCATTTGGTGTTTGTCGTCTGTCGTCGTCGGTCGTCGTCCGTTAACTCTACAAAAATTGTCTTCTCTGAAACTACTGGGCCAAATTTAACCAAACTTAGAATAGCCACAATCATAATTAGGGTATCTTGTTTCAAAAATGTGTCAAATGACCTCGCCTGCCAACCGACTTTGCCGGCATGGCTAGAAATAGAACATATGGGTACAATGCTAGTTTTGTCTATTATCTTGAAAAACCGTTATGTGTAGAGAAAATCTGACTGGGCAGAAATGTTCAGAATGATGATGTACATTTACGTCAAACGACTTCTTACAGGAGTTATTGCTCTTTAATGACGATCTTTACTAATATTACGCCTTTGCCTATTATAGGCTTGAAAACTATAAAAGATAGATAAACACTTTAATAGTAAAAATGATCAACAAGACAAGATCTACAAATAAAATAAATTTGCCGAAATTGTTAGTAGCCTCTTTATAGGAATGATTGCCCTTTAATGACAATTTGTCTATTTTTTTATGTTTTGGGCAAAAACTAAAGAAGAAAGAGAGAAACTGTTAATAGAAAAAAACTATCAGTAATACACGATCAACAAAAAAGAGATTTTTGTCATGATTCTATTCTAGTCCACAATTTTGTAGAGTGTCTATAGTTGAAGATCCACATAGACATAGGTGAGCGACACAGGCTCTTTAGAGCCTCTAGTTTCTATAGGCCATATATTACCGTGACCTGAATCGGCTAATCTGCATTGCGCAATATTCAGAGATAAAAACACTATTATATGGTGGCCGGTTAAGGCCATTTCGCGTTTTCGCCCTTCATATTCTATAGGTCGAAAACGCGAAATCGCGAAGTCGAAAACGCGAAATGGTCTTAACCGGCCACCATACTATTAAATGACGGAAAAGTGCTCAAGTAATTGTTTTAACAAACCAGTAAAAGTCGAAATGGTCTATATCTGTACTCGACGGTACTGATTTTTATTCGATATTACTCGACCCCAATCTTAACCATACTCGACTGTACTGATTTGTACTTGACCTTATCTTTGCAATTGAAAATAATTTGAACTATTTCTCGACCTATCTGAAACAGTCCGAGTTAACCCATTCTCGACCTGTACTCGACCAATACTTGACCAGTTCTCGAATACAAAGATAAAAAGAAAAAGAAAAGGACTCCATGTGTTCTTACTTACTACCCATCTCTCAAAGACAGCTTCGGTGTCATTGGTGAGCATTGGAAAACAGTTGAAAAGAATTCCAAACTATCCAAGATTTTTTCCCGAACCCTCCCCATGATAGCTTTTAAGCAACCCAATAGTCTGCGGAACCTGCTGGTGCTGGCTGAAGTGGCTTATCCGAGAAGTACTTCTGGAGAATATCGTTCGTGTGATTAAAAACGCTGCAAATGCTGCCTACAGATGCATCACTCATCAACTTTTCACAGTAAGGCAACCAAAAATAACTATAGGATATTTTGCAACGTGACCTGCAAAAGTATGAATGTTATTTACATTCTAGAATGTTCGGTTTGTGGGATGCTGGTGAGTCAAAGCAGCCTTTCCACAAACGCCCCAATGGCCATAGGATGAATCACTAGGCATAGTTTGAGTTTCTTTTTGAGTACTATCACGAGTCTTTAACTCCAGACTTTTAGAGTTAAACAGATTAGCTTAAACTTCACGGCTGTCATTCGGTTTACCGAGAAAAAATATCGTGAAAGGATAAGTGGTCAAGCATTGCGGTCGGATCGTGAATGATCTGGTATCGGATCGTGAAAGTAATAAGATACAATTCAATTGCAAAATCTGTGAACATATCCATTGTATTATCAACAGGTGGAAAAAAATCAGAAAAAATAAATGTGTATGTCAAAACGGTTCAACTTACTTTTAAAATACTTTGCACTAAGGTAAAGACATAAAACTGCATGCACCTTTGAAGAAAACTCAAAGGCGACACATACCCTTATGCGAATCAATAAAAAAAAAACTATGTTTTGGATCTACATTCCAATAAATCATAATATATTTGAAACTAAATCTTTTGTATGTCAGATAGTACAGTAAAATGGAAGTGATATTTTCCTTGAAAATGTTAAGATTATTTTTAATAGAAGGTTTTTGTTGATTTTTAATCAACATTGATCGTGAAAGATCAGGCAACGCGTTATTTGATCGTGAAGCAATGCGCGACGAGACTGTATAGGTTTTGATCGTCGTTGGCCGTTCGATGACCTATAAGTGCTTACATCTACGTCATTTGGTCTCTGGTGGGTAGTTGTCTCATTGTCAATCATATCACATCTTTTTATTTTTACCTGCGTCGCCAAAGGCGAAAGCAGGTCTAGTAACCGCCTGACTCCGCCCGTCCGAAAGACCTTGGGTTGAAAACTTTCGTCAAAGTTTTGTTGACTTCTATGAAAGGGAATGAATTATTATTTGGTTTGCAGATTTATAATGTTGAGTTGTAGAGAGTATGCAATTTAAACACCAGCCGTGCATTCACTTCTTGTTTGCCGATAGTTTGAAATTTTACAACATGCATTGTACAAGGAAAATTTTCGTCAAACATTTCTAGGCTTGCACTGAAGGGAATAATTCTATTATTTTGTCTGCCGCTTGATTATGTTCAGTTGTAACGATAAATAAATATTTACATCCGCCATCCAGCCACTTCCTGTTTCCGATATCTTGAAATTTTACAACACTCGTTGTACAAGGAAAATTTTCGTCACATTTTTTTGTTTTTTTTCTTTAATAAAAGGAAATGATAAGCTATGCTTCAGTATACATGTAACCTCAATCAATTGCATGCAGCGACGCAGGTTTTCAGTAAGAGTAAAAATTAACCTGACATCCGAGATAATAAGGCCACCAGCGACTCTTTTCACAAAAAATCTTACGATTAAAATTGATCGTAAGTTATACTGAAATGTGTATGACTTACGAGTATTTTTACTCTTAAGATTTTTTGTGAAAAGAGCCGCAGGAGCTTAGCTTGTCAAAAGTAAGTATCTTTGTATTTATAATGTTAACGCATTTGCGAATGAACGAAGCGAGATGGGGTCTAGGGGTCTTACCTGGAAATAAATTAAATGTGTGCTCTTTGATATACGTCATAGTACCCAACAAGGTGGTGAAAATGTCAACGTACGTACCTCGAGTGTGGTGGGATCGATTTCCTAGCTTGGTCTGTAGATCTATCTAATAGTATTCTCTATCGTAACAAGTCTGGAATATCTAGCCTGGTGATGCATGCATACCAGAAGACGCTTATCTTGCGGAAACATTCGGTCTCGCCCAATTTGGAGATAATAAGATTCCATCAGATTTTTTCTCATGGCATGAATCTCTAAAGGCTTTCTAATCTAAAGGATAGTCAATTAATTTACGCTAAGCACGCAGCACTATAAATAAAAACTAACATTGTCCAACTCTAGGTCAATATCATATGTCCGAAGGTAGTGCAGTGATTGTACGACTGTTAACATTTTTTTTGAGGTCGAACGTAAATAATTTTCTTCGGCGTATCTAATATAAATGGCAGGACTTTTTTTTTATCATATCATTCAATGTTTCTACTGCTGCTATTTAGACATTGTGTGTAATTGATAATTTTTGACATAGAGAACCAATTCAGAAGGGCCTATAACTTCTAACACAAAAAGATTTTTCTCAAATTTCGTGATTTTTTTCTCTATAAAAGTTCAGTCTTTTTACCGCAATGTGGACACCGATAACTAATTTATAATAGCATACACTTAATTTAATTTCGATCAAGTCCATGAACAGAAAGAGTTTCTTCAAATTTGTGATTTTGTTTTCTTCAAAACTATTTCTAATCGAAAATTCGACTCTGGGAATCAATCTGGAATTCCACTATATACCTAAATATAAATTGTTGTTTAAATCCTAGTGTTAATTTAAAAGTGTTTACCACATTTCCGCCCAATTTTCACTTTCCATTAAAATTCAAGCTCAAAAAGCTTTTTTAACTTAAAAGTATGACTTTTTATAAAAATGTTCTCCCTTTGTAAAATTATAAATCGACAAGGATCTTCCTCTCATAGTTATAAATGCTGTTCATAACCATTATTAATATCAGATGAGGCATTCTCGACTTATAATAACGACGAACGGACAGACTACAGTGAATTAAGCTAGGTTCACACTGCCGATCAGACCAAGTCGATTAACCCGATTGCATAAATCTCCACGACCAAGCGTAACCAAATTCTTGATCGGGCCTGTTTACGACTTCTATCCGACCGCTATCAGAACGTACACGACTCCCAACTCGACCATTTACGACTCCTTAACGACTTCTTCACGACTTAAAACCGACCACTGACTAATTGAATATCTATTCGATGATCCCGACTAATTCACGATCTCTATACGATATTTACTCGACTAGCTAGACTAAATCAACAATACTCAATCTCAACCCGATCTCGACCAGACCAGATCGACCTGATCGTATAGGGGTCGTAGAAATAGTCGTTTATTGGTCGGGTATGTACAATTTCAGTATAAAACGTCTGATTTTTATACCCCCGCAGCAGCGGAGGGGGAGTTAAGTGTTACCCTTGTCCGTCTGTACGCCCGTCTGTACGTACGTATGCCCCGAAATTGGTTTCCGTTCTCTAACTTTAGTTTGCCTCAACCAAATGATATGAAACTTATTCACAATGCTTATTACCACAAAAGTCAGATCAAGTTCAAATAATTTGAATCGTTTGTATTTTCTTAGGGAGCTACCATTTGATTTTTATGGGGGGGGGGGGGGGGGGGGGGGGGGGGGGCTAGGATGAAATTTGAAAAAAAGGCAGGACAGGAGTTTTGAGTAAAAAAAAAAGGCAGGATGAGCAACTTGGCCAAAAAAAAAAGGCAGGATGACAATTTATGTAAAAAGAGTCAGGATAAACTAATAAAATAAAGGACGGACCGAATAGAGTGAAAAATAAAAAGGCAGGACAGAGATTACAATTAAAAAAAAATGCAGGACAAAATTTTTCATCCTAGCCCCCCCACCCCCCACCCCTCCCTAAAAATCAAATGGTAGCTCCCTTATTTATAAAATTTACTCGTCTTTTCTTGAAAATGTCACCACCAGATTGGCATCTGAGATCACATCAGCAAGTTACGAGAGTTGATCAGATCTGATCTGCACACCCTTTTATAGAATCGTGTAGCAGTCATGCTGAATTGAATCTGAATGGCGGGAAAAATTGTTTTTTTTTTGTCATATTACTTGGAAAGTGGAAGAATGTCGTGTTTACTGTCGGAAAGTGGTGCGGCCTTTTAAAAGTGAAAACATCTAATAAGCAGCATGTAATCGTTGTGGCTTGTGGCACGTTTCATGCCATAAAATCACAGTATAACATTACATTATTTATGCATGAGAATTTTTTCTGTTAAGCATCGTCTTTGATTTTTTGTTAAAGATGGGCAGTTTTGCATGTAGGCCAGCTAAGGAAGCTGACAATTACAAGACTGAAAATTGGGTAGAAAAATTTATTGCAGTATATTCACTGTAAAGACGTTTGCAGCTCACTGGATGTATTGTTTGCACAGAATGACAAAAAAAATTTGATTTTAGTACATTCTGGTCCCATATTGCGCCAAATGAACTGAAATTATTCCACAATTATGAATTTTTAGACAAAACACCAAACGAAAGATATGACGAAGTAAAATATATTCTAGGAACCAATAAGTATGTGATTTTGAATTCAATGGAGAATAAAATGATTTTTTTCTTTATGAAAACTTATTGTGTAACAAAATATGACGAATACTGAAAACAGTGTCAAGGTTGATATGGAGCTACATATGAAAACTAAGATTTTTTTCTTTATAATTATCTTGATTCAATGGTTTACATATAAGTAAAATACATACAAGATAAACTTAAACGATTATTTGTTTCACAAAATTTGAATTTTTCATGCGTCTTTGACCTCATTTTCCATACTGCAACATTGCACAGTTCAGTCAAAATTCAATTTTATTTTTAGCTTAGGCCAAACCGGACTAATGTTTAGTTCTTCGGACTCTTTCCTTTGAAAATGGATAACGAGCGAGCGAAATTTTTTTGTTTGTTTTTTTTTTTTCGAAGTTTGATTTTTTGGCAGCGGCGAAATTTTTTTTTACTACCGATCGATATTATTTTTGAAATATTAAAAAAAAACTATGTAAAGAATTTTATGCAAGCGAGCGATCAAATTTAGTTGGCCAAAATTATATATTTATAGGTATGTGTCCAGTAATGAGCCAGTCACTATTGTTTCAGTGATCTCCTTAATTTCTAGGATATTGGAATAAACGAGGTTTAGATTATCAGCATAAGCGCAAATAGTTCTTTAAACTTCCAGATCACCTTACGGACATTCTCTCTGTTGTAAAACTAAATTTTAGTTATTTATTGTTAACTTTATATACAATTTTGCAACTGCTCGATATAATAACGGTAATACAACCGAACATTCAAATATAAAAATAAGAAGATTTGGTATAATTGCCAATGAGACAACTCTCCACCAGAGACCAAATGACATAGAGGTTAACAACTATAGGTCACCGTACGGCCTTCAACAGTGAGTAAAATCCATACCGCATAGTCAGCTACAAAAGTAAAACAATTCAACCAAGAAAACTAACGGCCAGATTTATGTACAAAATAATGAATGAAAAACAAATACGTAAAAAATTAACAAACGACAACCACTGAATTATAGGCTCCTGATTTTGGACAAGCACATACAGAATGTGGCGGGGTTAAACTAGTTTGAAGGCGCAAACCCTCCCCATTTTTAATTATTATCAATCATCTGATGCATGCAAATCACTGTCTTTCTAATCAAATCTCAGTGTAAAAGTAATTTGAATGGATTATATTTTTTTGTTATGGGTTTAAATAAATAAATGTTACATCGACTAATCGAGAGAAAAAAATGCAACACCGAAATAAACTTTAATTGATACTGAAAACGATACTGCCCTTCCAATTTTACCTCTGACGTCAATTGTTATTGTATTGACTGCTGTAACATCTTTGTAGGTTTCTATAGATCGGCCTTAATTAATATCTTTTGACAGAAATGATGACTACTGTCAGTGTAAATCGAAACATTGAAAAAATTTTAATCTTTGTAAAGTTTCAGTTTTCGCACATGTTACCATGATATGATATATTGTGCTCGTTTATTATTGTAGATCTGTGATAAAATATTTTCAGCAATTATATTTCAACTGATGGCCCATATAGATATTCATGTATATAATAAACAAGACGAGTAGCTAGATTCATTTCAGTCAACTGTTGTATGAATGATATATCAGAAATGAAGTGGATAGGTTGTTGTTTTCTTCTACTGACTTTTGTGACTTCTTCTATTTCACTTTTTGTAAGTTTTTATTTGATTTATATGGCGTTTATTATCAGTTTTTATTAAAAATTCATTTTTTTTATTTAGTAAATAAATACCTATATTCTATTAAAGCGAAAATTTTTCAATCAATCTACCTCACTTCCACCCCTAAAAATAATAATGAATAAATAAAAAAGAAGGAATTAAAAGAATTACAAATTAGGAATATTCATAGTCATTATCTCAATATGAGAATAAAATTAACATATGTGTGAATGCCTGCAGATACATGAAACGCAAAATACTATCTATTGTGTAACAAATGTTTTGGAATAATAATGGAGGAAAATCTAGTTACCGAAAAGAAAATTGAAAATATTCTTTTTCTCATTTTTTTTCCCGTATTTTACTGGTACATTGTCTTCGCATTTTTTTGCAGTTAAAATGAGATAAAGTCATATGTTACAGTTTTCAGACAACAAAAGTCAATAGTTTCGTCAAACCTGCATGGAATTTATGCCTCGTTCACACGTAAATTTAATTCGAATTGAATTCAAATCGAATGCGAATCGAATTTGCTAACCGCGTTCAAACACTATTCTTTTTTTAATTCGAGTCGAATTCTAATTGGCTAAAAATAGGATGAAATTTGAAAAAAGGCAGAACAGAAGTTATGATTAAAAAAAAGACATTTTTTTTTCGTTTAACAATGGTTTGTGCAAAAAAACAGGAAAAATAGGAAAACCTTATCCCTGTTATTGAAATGAGAAGGAAATATGATTCATATAAATGCCATATCAGATCAAGAATTGATAATGCGAATTAAAAGTTGACGTCGTTCGGACAGTAAAGCGAATTTGACGCGCTTTGCAAACCGTATTAAAATTTACGATCGAACGTAAAACGTTTCGAATGCGAATTAAACTAATTCGAATTAGTTAATGCGAATCGAATTCGAATTACGTGTGAACGCAGCATTAATAAAATTTGGACAGAAGCTTTTTTATGATCAAATTTGGAAAAAAAAGTGTTTTTTTTTTTCATTTATCCGTATTTAATTGATATTTACCTCGGTGAAAGTTTTTTTAGACGTCAATAACTTTATCAAACCTTGATAGAACTTTATAAAACTTTGGCAGAAGCTTTTTTATAATAAGTAATAATGTCTGAATTAAGCAAAATGTTGAAAATTGTTTTTTTTCAATTTTCCTTATTTTACTGACAAATGGGCATTTTTTTGCTGTAAATACTTAGATACTGTCTGCGGTTAAAACGTGTCGACATTAGTAGCTTTGTTAAACCTTTAATTTACGGCAGAAGTTATTATTAAGAGATACTTATTGTCTGAGGCAAAATTTTGAAAAGAAATTGTTTTCATTTTTAGCTCACCGTTCCGAAGGAACTGTGAGATTTTGCCATCACTTGGCGTCCGTCGTCGTCCGTCCGGTGTAAACTATTTCAAACATCTTCTCCTCTGAAACTACTAAACCAATTCCAAATAAACTTAAGCTGAATGATCATTGGGATATTTAGAATAAAGTCTGTGTTTTATTTTCTTTTTTTGTCAAAAAACATGGCCGCCATGGCTAAAAATAGAACATAGGGGTAAAATGCAGTTTCTGGTTTAATATCTAAAAAGCAAAGCATTTAGAGCAAATTTGACAAGGTAAAAATGTTCATTAGGTCAAGTTCTATCAGCCCTGAAATTTTCAGATGAATCTAACAACCCATTGTTGGGTTGCTCCACTCAATTAGTAATTTTAAGGAAATTTTGCAGTTTTCGGTTATTATCTTGAATATTATTATAGATAAAGATAAACCGTAAACAGCAAAAATGTTCAGCAAAGTAAGATCTACAAATAAGTTTCTATGACCAAATTGTCAATTGACCCCTTAAGGAGTTATTGTCCCTTAAAGACAATTTTTCACAATTTGTTTATCTAGTTTGCTTACTTAAAAAAATCTTCTGCTTTGAAACTGCTGAATCAATTTCAGCCAAACTTGGACTGAATGAGTTTCAGAGTATCTTGTATAAATTTTGTATTTTATTTCCTTGTACGTCAAGAAACATAGCCATTATGACTAAAATGGAACATAGTGGTAAAATGCATTTTTTGGCTTTTGAAGAAAATATGACAGATACAAAGAACATTTAAATGGCATTTTTAAGCCACTCATTAATACATATTGAAAAGCAAAAATAATCATTGATGAAAGATTTAAGCAAAAAATTACAGGTGAGCGATTCAGGCTCTTGAGAGCCTCTTGTTTCAGTATTTTACTCAAAGATTTAGTTTTTTTCGTCAACATTATCATACATTCGTCTTGGATTAAATTTTTTGGACCACCAATAACTTTACCAAACCTTCATGAAATGTAATGAATCTTGGACGTAAGCTTCTTCAAGATCAAGAAATCGCATAAAAATTTGAACAAAAATATTATTTTTACATTTATTACTGATAAATGGTGATAGGTTTTTATGATTACGAGATAATGTCTGAAAATTTTTGAAAATAAACTGTTTTAATTTTTCAGTATTTTAGATGAGTTTGGCTATTTTTTTAGGTCCTTTTTGGTCATATAGCTCTTCACTTTTTCGGTTCTTATACATCCATGGCTTACAAATATTTAGGCGTTCCTGATGAATGTAAATCCAGAAAAGCGCTTCGGCCGCATGAAATTTATAAAGTGTTGTTTTCATTTCTTAATCAAACAATCATGAAACATTATGAGTATTGACTATAAGCTTCTTAAAGATTACAAAAAATATGCAGAATTTAATAAAAATCCTTTTTTTTTTCAGTATATAACTGATAAATGGACATAGTTTTTGGCAGCCAACATTATCCCTATCTTAATATAATCTTGCACTAACTGAATATGATCATCGATATGCCATATCACTCAAATAAAAGAAATTAGTTTGAAAAGACAAAAAATAAAATGGATACCTAGCTGAAACTGTTTTTGTCATGTTTGCAACAATACCCCTTTAAACGTCATTGCCAAGTGTTATAAATTATTAAACATGAAATCGATCATTTAAAATATAAATAAATCGATTGCCAAAAAATTTTGCAAAATATAGTAATTATGAGTTTATGAAGGAGACAAACTAACAATCCTTCAAAGCATCTTGCCTTTAAGCTAAGTACTTTTCGCCAAACATATATTATTTAAATGGTTATAATGCTCATTGTATTGCTTAGTATAAATTTTTTTCCTAAAATATTTCTATTTTTAACACATTAATACTTATCAATTGTAATTTACAATCGAAGATATGTTTTGTTTACTTTCTTCGTTTTCAGTGTGAGATTACTGAAGATGGAAGTATGTCAACAAGTCATACAGGATATAAATGTCTTGATCACCAGGAAAGTTCTTATATGTTTCCTCCCAAGGTATGATGGATAATTCATACGTTTTAAGCTACTTTAATTCTAAAGCCAATTGGCATTTTCTTATTAGATGCATTAAAACAATAGCTATAGATATTTGTAAACCAATGACCTAGAAATACATCTCTTACACACTGTATGTAAAACTTGTTATTGATGCCACCTTTTTTTAATTCCAGAAATGCATTTTTCATTTTTTGTTCACATGCTTAAAGTCAAAATCAAGCACGCGGACTTTATTTTCCTTAATTTTGAGATGTTACATTATGTATTCAAAGAGACACTTCATTTATTGATATTGTACAACTTGGAATTTTGATTTCAATAGTATATTTCTATCATCAATTAAGGTCCCTTTGAAGTTATTGTAACGTAGTTTCTTTTTGTATATCTATCTTCTTACAGCAAGGGACACCATCAATTGGTTGATTATCCTGCCACCTTTTTGGAGTGTGCGCATGAATTTTCTTTAGATGAATAGCTTATCGTTTTCAATCACTATACCATTTATTAAATCTCTACTTTTCCCGAACCTTTCCATGAGCTTTGTTGCTAGCATACTCGCCTTAGTTGTCGTGCGTTATCAGTTCGATGCAATCAAGATCAAATAAAAATTAAAGCAGCAATGTGTGTTTTCCTCTGCTTACATTCTTCAAACATACAACATGTAATTTTAAGAGCAAAACTGGTTGGCTCGACGTCATGATGATATGTCAAATCCCTGCAGGCTGTAACTTACAAGTAGCGTACTAAAAACTAGATTTAAAGTGTCGGCATAGCACTAAGCAAGAATGTCCCGTTTGTAGTGATATATTAAGAATTCTCTATATAGGCTATATAGAACTATGATCACCTTGATATCTATCTAGAAGAAAAACAAATTCTTTTAAAGAAGTAAAATAACAAAAATACCGAACTCTCATATTCCTGACTTGGTACAGGCATTTCCTTATGTAGAAAATGGTGGATTAAACCTTGTTTTTTTTTGCTAGCTAAACTTCTTACTTGTATGATAGTCGCATAGAATTCTTAAGGCAGGCATACATTTTGCTGTGCGGATTGCATTAAGACATAGTCATGTCTGGTAAGAAATTTGTCGTTAATTTGATAATACAAAAAAGGTATTTATAAGAATTACAAAATATATTAGATATTACAACAGACTACAACAACCCCCGTCATCCGACTCCTCCGGAAAACAGACTTACAGTAAAAGAAAAAAAAAACAAACATGGCCAGGGTAGCCTGACATGGTACAGACACAAAGAGTGGTTTTGATATACTAGTTTGACGTGCGCACAGCCGCAATTTTTGCCTATCTAGACCATATATCGTAAAATAAAAACACAATAAAAATATGCACAGTCCAGCTACTAGATGACCACTTAATTAACCGAAGAAATGAAAGAGCACATAATTTTGGAAAACAGGATCAAAATGACATTGTGCTCGCTACTTCAGAAATCGTTTCGAGAGTACAACACTGACAGCACTTGAAAAAAAGAGGCGGAAGATTTCAAACGGATACTAGTAATCAAAATTCACAAGTCGAAGTGATACCTCCAAAACCACGACAAAAAAAACATAGTATTACCAAAAACCGGATATGATCTAAGGTGCTCCGGAAGTGAAATCGGATACTGCTTCACATGCGCCGTCCGTGGTGTTGTTTATGGTAAGTACAACTTCGGTGATATGTATTATTCGGTAATGCACCATCGAGGATTAGAGGACGGTACTGGGGCTACGATACTAGTAATTGAAGCATATTCCGTGGTCATCTGAGACACAGATATTGCATAACGGTCAACCAACTCATGATGGCGTCCGTAAAACTTTCGAAGGGATGACTTTAACTCTACCACTAGGAAACCTTGGTTCAATAGCTTCCTTGTAAGCAGAAACCCTCCACCAAGGAAGACTGCCACTGGACGTTAAGCAACCAAAAATCAATCAATCCATCAAGGAAGTAAAGATAGGTAACTCACGCTTTGCTGAATATGCGGTATGGGTTTTGCTCATTGTTGAAGGCCATACGGTGACCTATAGTTGTTCATTTTTGTGTCATTTGGTCTCTTCTGGAGAGTTGTCGCATTGGCAATCATACCACATCTTCGTATTTGTATATTTGGAATATCGTATCAACTTTGAGATACGATCGGATACGTACTCCTTAAGCAGGCGTTTCTAGAATATAGAAATGGAAAGTTCTCAATTGGGAAGCTGAAATCATCTCTTTATCGTGAGGTTTTCTTTTCAACCAACATTCATTGTTTATTTCTAGGTTTAAGTCAAGGTATCAGGAAGACTTAACTGTATCTGTTGTATACTTTTTTCAAGTTCGATGGGATAGCTGCGTTCAACGTAGTGACTAAACTTTTAATTATTTAGTGAGAAGACATAGTCACCAAATTTTTCATTATTTAATGATAAGACATCATCTATAAAGCGGAAAGCGAGGTTAAAGGAAAATGTTAGCTTATTTTTAATTCCTGAGAAGATCCTGTGTGAAGTCTGTCTCCTAGGAATAATCAAACAAGTCGCAAGATGTGGAGCACATTTGGTTCCCATACGAACGCGTCCTCCAAACGTGTTTGAATAAGAGTGTTTTTAACAAAGTATGATTTATCACTAAAACAACCTGCTGTCATGACGCAAACGACAATCAATCAACAAATCAATCCATTAATTAACCGTTTGAAGCAATGTTTATTATGATTTTTTCTTCTCAGAACAGTCAGGATTCTACTTCGTCAAAATTATCTCCCCATTACGCCAGTTCATTTTTACAATCGTAAAAATGGAAGCCATTGTAGGGATGACGCGCTGCCAATTTAGCTCTTGAAAACCGATAAATTTATCCGCATAGCACCATTACGATCCTTATATGACAGTTGTATTTTAAAAGACAAATGTATCTACTAGCTAATGAGCATCAGTTAATGTACTTGTCTGCATTCAGTCAACTTAAAACTATTGTCTGATCGGTTGTCAGGTAGAATTTTCGAAAATTCATAAACAATAAAAAAAAATTCTAATTCAATATTTCGTGGAAGGGCAGACTAAAAAATTTCAGTGGTTGAAGACTATAAACCCTAGATATCACACACAAAAATGAAGTTTTTTCGAAGATATGCATTTTTAAGATCCAACTTAGAAGTCTGTCGTCAAGTACTTTTAGTAAAAATTTGCTATTCGAACACACCTACTCTGTTTTTGTGATTCATTAGAAAGGTATTTCACTTGACCTATATATTTCATTTTTTTAGTACTGTGAATTTTCGATGTTATAAAGTCAACCTGTAGCCTTGATATATAAAAATGATAGAATCTGAAGCGAGATGATGTATCAAATACTTTTGCTTTTTACGTTTTCAAGACAAAATATTCAACTCAAACACGCCCTAACATAAAAAGGTGCACTCGATTTTCTCTTTTCGATGCAATTGTTACCCATTTTTTGGAATTTTTTCTCGAGTCACATAATGGAAGGGCAGAAACGAAAATTAAGGAACAAATAGATTGATATGTTATCCGTCCGTGGTAAAAATTTTTGAAAAATCGGAGGTTATGCATTTTTTAGATCCAACTTAATAGACACCCATATCGTCGACTTGATATATAATTGTTCTGCTTAATTATGTAATAGATAAATTGAAAACTTATGCAAATTGTGTTTTTATGATAAAATATTTCGTAATTTAGCAAAAAACTGTCATTTTATTTGTTTCTATTAACTTTTAAAATTTGTGTTACTACAGTAAACATTACAGTAAGCATTTATCGCCTTCTCTAACAAAGAGCTTCGATTCTTTTGTTCTATTTCAAATGGGTTTCCGCCTGAGAATATTTTCTGCTTAAAGTGTAATGAGAGAATTATTGATTTCTCCCGTTTGCAATATTAGATACATTATCTATACATTAGAATTGAAATAATATTAACCGATTGTTTGGTAAGAAGAAAGACGATTCTGATTTTCATATGTATAAGTAATACATCACTTCTTATATGTATTCTATCGTATTTAAAATACTAGAATACGTTTACATTTTAGTAGTCTACATGAACCACTTTGATTATCGGAAAACATTTTCATATAAGTAATTTTTAGGAACTTTAGTTTCAGGTGTGTGACTGCCCTACTGGAAGACAATGTATCAGTGTAAAAGATGGCCTGAATGACATATTCAAGTGTTCAAAAGAACATACAGAAGGACTAAATTTGGAAAAAAAGAAATAAATATTTTCATGGGTTGTTCTGCTTGATCGAGTATGACTTTTGAAGGTGGGATACATATCAATGGGACAGAAACAACAAAAAACACCGTATTAAATCATCTTTAAGTTAGATCGGGTTGTCTTTTTCTGAGCATCCCCCTCTGGACATGTTGCAAAAATACTGTTTTTGTCTGAAAATATTTCATCAAGAATATTATTATTAACAACAGAAACATTTAATTTAAAACTTGAAATTCAAAGATTAAACTATAAAAAAATTAAGTGCTGTGAAGTGTATTTAAAGTTTCATAAAAATGCTTTTAAAATCATGGGCAGAAAATTATATTGAATTTGATAGGACAATTTGTGCGTTTTTTTGTTTGTTTTGTTTTTTGTTTATTTTTCAAGAAAATACGGCCCATGAACCCTACTTTATTTAATATTTCGGAAGTATTTATGAAAAGCAAATCTCTCATCGAATTTTAACCAATTCTATCGTTTAATGTTTCCTCAACAAAGAAGAAAATATATAACCCATATCAAATAACTGTTATTTGATACATAAAATAAATCTAAAGAAAACAAGTCAATTTGAAAAACATATGTCACAAGTTCGTTTTCGATAAAAAAAAAAAGGGGGGGGGGAGAAGAGGAAGAAGGAATTATATAACTAATCAAGATTGTTATGCCGTAGCGAAATGTCTTCCACCACTTTTGTCATTATGCAATAGATCTATATTGGTCTCAGACAGTAGATTTAAGAATGTGATGTGACAGTTGTACATTTGATCTATACACTAAATGTATATTTATAACAATTTCAATTCACTACAATAATATGAATCACCAAACCAATAAAATGAGCCGTTACATCAAAGTCATCCATGAGGTACAAGTTATAATCGTTAAAAAAAAAATCAAACTCACATCATCCTATAAAATTCACTAGATCAATATGGTGGCATAGTAAAGTAACCTTCCAATGATTTCTACCAATCCTGTTTAACATAAAAGCTATGGGACAAAATTGATCAGGATGTCATTGCGCTACACTAGGCAACAAAAAGGAGGAAAAGGCCTGCAAATTCAACAAAAATTATTAAATCCGAATTACGCAATACATGATTAAGGGACGAACGTTTTATTGCATCTTTGATAGATTTATTTGTATAAAATTTTGAATTTTATTTTTTTAATATTCGAGGGGGGGAGGGAGGAATATTTCCAAATCGATCATTTCATCTGTTGCTATGCATGCATAGCTTTTTGCCGAGCGACATTTATCTTCACTTTTGTAACAGTTGTTTCCTGTATTTGTGTTAGAGCATATTCATTTCATCATGTCTTGTGAAAAGTTATTATTCTCAGTTCTTACGATGCCAAGTTATTCATTTTCAAAATCCTTCTGCCCCCTAAGATAATCAAATGGTCGTTCCCTCACAAACATTCTCACGAAGTGTGAGAGCTTTTGGACATATGGGGAAGAAGACTAGCGTTATTAAAGCGTCATTTGGCTACAATATTCTCCTACTCAAATTGTCAAATCAAAATTGCAGTACTTTATGGTCAACTAAACATAATGACAAAATTCTAAGTATAAATATTTTTAGAAGCGGTCTATGAGGAGAAGTGTTCAGTATTGAATGGAAACTACGATAATTACAGAAAATTAAAGAAATGTCGAAACTTGTCGAAGTTGATTTTTTTTGTCATTTTTTAAATGTTGAATCATTAAAAATGTATTTTACCAAATACGTAAGTTGTACTAGTATCACATGACCAATTTGTTACGAAAATTATACCAATAGAGAAAATCAAAATGTAGAAATAAATTCATACAGAGCAAAATAAAATTTTGGTTGTGGTGGTGTAAGTTATATGAAAATATGAAATATGATGAAGACAGTTGGTTGTTAAACGTCCAGTGTTATTCTAGTATTTAGGACGAAAACATGTTAATGTGATATGAATATAGACCCTGCTTTGTACTAGACCGACACACTGATCCGGAATTTTCACGTGCTAGTTGGCAAGGTAACAGTCCGCAGGAAGACATGTCACCCTACTCGGACAAATATTTCTGACTCCTAGGCGACCCATCTTTGCTCTTACTCCTAATGCCTCGTTCTTGGTGGAGAAGGAACTAATACAAAATTTCAAGTTTTTGGTTTGACCCGGCCAGGGATCAAACCCATGACTTCCAACACTCGACGCGAGCACGACACTTAGTCACTACCGAAGCAGTTGTAAGATAATACAGGGGAAAGACAACACGAATCATATATAGCAATATACAATTTTGGCCATAGGGTCTTTGCATCGCAAATAAACACATTTATTCTAAAACCAGTTGTTGGCATGCTAGGGGTTATGTTCGTCTCATATATTTTATAATGGTATGATACTAAACCCCTATCGAGAGGGATTGTGCTTGATTTTCATATGATGTAGACATAATCTTTCAGTCAGTTTAATTGAGGTCTGTAGTTGGCATGTCAGTAACTGCTAGTAGTCCTTTGTTAATTTGCTTAGTTTCTTCTGTTACCTATTCTAACATTGGACTCGGACTTCTTTTAAACTGTGTTTTACTGTGCGTATAACTGTGTGTTTGATTATTCCACATTGGCTAGAGGTATAGCGGAGAGTTGAGATCTCACAAAACATGATTAACCCCGTCGCATTTTCCCCTATCCCAAGTCGGGGTGTGGGAATTTCTCGCTGTGTTGAAACCCATTTTTGGCCTTGGGCTGTTTTCTGCTCTTTGGTCGGGTGTTTGACACATTCCCCGTTTCCAGACTTTTCGTTCTCAATTTTAGTTATCTAGTAAGATAAACAGGAGCAGACAATACACATAAAAAATCTAGTAAAATAATATACAGACAATCCAATCCAACAAGAGCAATATAAAATTCTGGCCATGTGGTGTGTGATATCTAGTAAGATAAAAGACTGTAAAGACAACCCAAATAATCAAGAGAAATATTAAATTATCCAGAAAGACGTGCTTTTATGTCAATAAAAGAAGACTGAAAACTTCAAGCTCGGGCAATGATATTCCTTGGAAACCGAGTTTTTGTTGATATATAATATATTATCATTCTGTTCTTCTTGGGTTGTGTTAGTATGTTTGAAATTATCTGTCATTTTTTCATTCTTTCTTTTAAGCCTCAAAGGAAGCTATAAAAGTCCTCGACATGACAAAATGTAAAACAATACAACATGTAACCAACAGCAAGGTTTGTGATCAAACAACAAACGAAAAACAAATATTGCAAACAGCAACAACGACAACCTTTGAGTTAAAGGCTCCGGAGTAAAGACAGGCAAATAAATAATTTGGCGTGGTTAAACGTTTTCAAATTGTGAACGCTCAACCATCCTCTATCTGGGGACAGTGATCAATGTAACAGCACTAGTGTCGTAGCTCGATCCTTATTTCTAGTGATTGATTGATTGATTGATTGATTGTTGGTTGCTTAACGTCCAGTGGCAAATATTTCATGAAAACAAATTAACAATAAATTCAATTGGTAGGTCCGGTAATAGAGGTCAGCTGGGTTGCAGGTCGGGAAAATTTGGACTGCCACGGGAAAATGAGGATATATTGGATAGGGACTGAAATTAAGCCTTGCAACAGGCCAACTACGGACCCCTCAAAGAGTTGTTGCAAGGGATCTTAACGTGCAGAGAGCGTGGCACTCTCTCTACACGAGGCATCGGATTTAACGTCCCCATTCTGACCGGACGTGGCTGTGTACTTGATACATCCCGCACAGCCAAACGGACGCCCCACTTTGGCAAGGGGGTTACTGCTGGTCGGAAGAAGACCTGTAGTGACCATATTTCTATCCCCAGTCACTCTTGGGGATTATTTCTAATGAGGCATACGACTGGTAGCTGGGGACTCAATGCCTCAGCATGAATCGTAAACCGCGATGCTGATAAGGATTCATAATAATTTATTAAAAACTAGGCAAAAGATACCAAAGGGACATTAAAACTCATAAGTCGAAAATAAACTGACAATGCCATGGCTAAAAAGAAACAGACCTACAGACAAAAAACAGTACACAAAACACAACATAGAAAACTAAAGACCGAGCAAAATGAACCCCACCAAAAACTGGGGGTGATCTCAGGTGTTCTGGAAGGGTAAACAGATCCTGCTCCACATGTGGCACCTGTCTTGTTGTTCATGTTAGTACAAACCCGGTAGGTCACATTCGGGGAAAATGGGACAGGATTGTAGTTACGACATTTGGACCATATCCGCTATCATCTGTGAAACGGATATTCCATAATGGTCAACCAACTTGCGATGGGGTCCGTTAAATTTACGAAGGGATGATTTCGACTTCACCACTTTGAACTCTTGGTTTAATAGCTTCCTTGTGAGCAGCAACCCTCAATCAAGGAAATCATGATAGGAAATACAAGCCCGGGAATATCGTATCAACTTGGAGATATATACCGATACTCCGTATGACGCTGCTGGAATGTTGCTACATAGAAAAGGAAAGTTCACAATTGGGAAGCTGAAATAATCTCTTTTGTCGTAAAGTTTTGTTTTCAACCGACCCTCAATGTCAATTTCTAGATGTAAGTCAAGATATGAGGCAGACTTAACTGTATCTGTTGTACCCTTTATCTTGTTCGATGGGATAGATGCGTTCTACATAGTCACCAAATTTTGAATTATTTAGTGAGAGAACATCATCTATATAGCGGAAAGAAAAGTTAAAGGATACTGCTAACTTCTTTTCTTTTTCCCTACGAAGTTCCCGTATGAATTCACATAAAGAATGTTGCGGCACAAAGCATGTATTAAGGCGCCAACCCTTCCCTAACCTGGGACAGTGGTGTAACAAAACAACATAAGAATAAACCATAACAATCAGTTCAAAGGGCTTAATTTATCAGATCGATACAAAGCAGAAAAACATCTAATAAAACACAGACCGGACGTGGCAGGGTATTTATACCTCCTCACAACAAAAAAAGACACAAAGTACAGATATGTGAGTACTCACAGTTACTGAAAGCTTGTCCAAAGTCAATAACAGCCAAAAAAAATCATGTATCTAAGACTAAAATATCAATCAGTACACATCCATCATCCAATGGATTTTT